CAGAATGGAGCGGGAAGCCCGCAGAGCTTCACAGAAGAGGGGGGTGTTGGACAGAGGGGGCAGGGCAGAGTGGGCCATGGGGTGGGGACCACAGGGACAGGCTTGCAGCAGGAGGAGGGGCAAGAGCTACCAAACGATAAGCAAATCCTCTTCTCGCCCCCACCCCACCCCGCCCCACCCCCACCCCAGTGTGTGCGTCTTTAATTCCGCCCTCACAGCTGCTGCTGAAGCAAGATGCTCCGGTGATCAGCAAGTGTCCCTGAGTGCCCAGTCTGGGAACCAGCTAGCAAAGCCTCAGTAATTCAGAATAAAATCGTGGCCCAGGGTGAAGGCCCAGGGTGAGGGTCAACGAAAAGCCTGAGATACACGAGGCTGTTCCAGAAACGCCGCTTTGTGACTTTCAGATAGAGCAAGTGGCTCTTCAGGAAATGCTGCCAACCAGAGGCCCCACAGTACTAGAGAAACAATTATTAATTAGCCCAATGATGCCTTCATGGTAATGAGGACTACGGAAGCTTCTGGAAACGGCCTGTGCTTGTGACATCTTCAGGTGACAGGAAATTCCTTGAAATTTCAGACTAAAACTTGGCAGTTGGGACTTGAAGGCTGGGGGTGACCCACTCATTTCTGATTTACCCACCCAGGAGCAGAGGACTCGCTCTAAGAGCAGCCAGAACCAGGAAAGCTACTGGTTTCTGGACACGACAAATCTCGGGTTGAAACAAAGCGAATTCGAAAATGTGGTCCAATCTGGGGTGAATGAATGAGTCCTTGTATTATCAAGGAAGCTTATTTTCCAAACTCCAAAGTAGCTACATAATACAGATAAACTGGTTAAAAATGAAATACCGTTTGTGATGAGAAAAGAATTCAGGTATTAAATATTCCCCTCAAAGAAAGGATCTAGTGTCCCTTCAGGGTTCGACAGCCCTTCGGGGTTGTCCAATGGTCAGGGAAAGGCTGTTTGCAGAGGGTCAAGCTGTGGGCAGTGGCCCAGCTACCACCCAAGCAGGCTGTGAGAGCAGAAGTAGCCAAGCCCACCAAGGCCGAGCTCCAGGCGGCAGGACCACACCATCCCTGCTGACCTGTGCACTCAGGCCAGCTCGCGAGGTATGTAAAATGCTGTTTCCAAGAAACAGAAGTGTTCAAGGTGCTCGTTTCCCCTTCAGTTTATGCGTGTTGCCCCAAGAGACCTCAGCCTCTTGGAAGTTCTATTAAAAAATACCACCTCCCCCTGTACCAGCCAGCAGACAAAACAAAAAACAAAAACCAAAAAACAAAAAACAACACCGCTTCCCAAATTATTAAGAAATAGCAATAAAGAAGAAAACAGTCAAATGTCACACAGTCTCTGCTATCATAAGACACTACATTATAAAGCCATTTTTCTGCTGATGGGGTAAATGCTATTCAAACTACAATTGCCAGCCTCAGCCCACACCCCTCCAGTGATGGGACGCTCACTACCTCCCCAGGATGCTCACTGCATCTTGGCTCATGTCTGACTGCTAAAACACTCTTCCTCTCACCAAGACTGAAATTCATCTCTATCAACATATCCTTAACCCTAACCCATGACTGGTGAAAAACAGCCTGGTGTGGAAGGAAGAGCATAGGATTTGGAGGTAGAATGACATAAATTTATGTCCCCAGAGCAGAATGAGTGTGGGCCCTGCAGCCAAACTACCTAGATAAACTTTGGCAATGATCTCAACCACTCAGTGTCTTCATTTGCTAGTTTATAAAATGGGGAAAATAAGGCACATTCCTTATAGGAAGATTATGAGGATTCAGTGAGATCATGCAGTAAATTGCCTAGCATGGCACCTGGCAGGAGACATCTCTACAGATACTACAGACAATGAGGTAATATTACAAATGCCCTTAAGCCAACACATTCAACAACCGAGACAAATGGACACATTTCTTGATTTTTGTTTGTGTGTGGCTTTTGGGTTTTTTTGGCAGGTGACCAGCATGAGGATCTGAATCCCTGACCTTGGTGTTACAAGGCTATGCTCCAACCAACTGAGCCAACTGGCCAGCCCTTGGACACATTTCTTGAAACAGACAAGCTACCAAAGCTCACTCAAGACAAAATTGATAACCTGAATAGCCCACTATCCAGTACAGAAGTCAAATTTGTTAAGAAAACCTTCCTGCAAAGAAAACTCTGGGCCCAAATGGCTTCACAGGAAAATTCCACAACATTTACATTAGAAATAATCCCAATTTTACACTGACTCTTCCCAAAAATAGAAAAAAATAGTTCCAAACTTACTTAATGGGGCCAGCATTATCCTGATGCCAAAAACAAAGACAATATAAGAAAAGAAAACTATGTACCAGTATCCCTCATGAACATCGACATAAAAATCCTTAACCAAATATTAACAAATCAAAACTAGCAATATATAAAAAGTATAACCTATCATAATGTATTTCAGCTATGCAAAGTTGTTTTAACGTTCAAAAATCAATCAATACTGTTCACCAGAGTAACTGACAGAAAAGAAGAGGAAAATGAGCATCTCAATAGATGTAGAAAAAAGACTTGATGAATTCAAGACTCATTCAAAATAAAAAACCAGCAAAATAAGAATAGAAGGGAACGTTCTGAAGCTGATAAAGAGCAACTACAAAACCCCTACAATTAACATCATACTCAACAGTGAAAGACTGAAGGCTTTCACAACAGTGATGGCCCCTCTCACCAGTTCCATTCAACATTATACTGGATGTCGCGCCACTGCAATAAGACAAGAAAAAGAAATAGAAGGCATACGGACTGGAAAGGAAGAGAAGTAAAACTTTTCGGTACTCACAGACTACATGATCACCTACGTAGAAATCCTAAAGAAGCTACAAAAAAGCTACTAGAACCAATAAACAAGGTTAGCAAGGTTGTAGGGGAAAAAGTCAATATGCAAAAATCAATTGTATTTCTAAATGCAAGCAATGAACAAGTTGGAAATTAAAATTTAAAAATCCATTAACAATAGCATCACAAATTGCAAAATACTTAGGGATAAAATAAAAGACATACCTGATCTGTACAAAGAAAACTACAAAACACTGTTGTAAAAAAATTAAAGAGACCTAAATAAAGGGAGAAATATACCAAGCTCATGGATTTAAAGACACAATATTGTTAAGATATCAATTCTCCTCAAATCAGTCCACAGATTCAAACACAATCCCAACCAAAATCTTAGCAGGTTTTTTCATAGAAATTAATAAACTGATTCCAAAATTTATTTAGAGCCAGAAAGGACCTAAAACAGCAAAAAAACAATTTTGAAAGAGAAGAAGGCTGGAAGTCTTTCTGATTTCAACACCTATGAAAAGACACAATCATCAGGACAGTGTGGTGTTGGCATAATGAGAGACACATAGATCAGTGAAATGGAACGGAAAGTCCAGAAATTGTCCCACACATATATGTTCAACTGGTTTTCAAGAAGTGTTTCAGGCAAAGCTCACCAGCGGCTGCTAGAACCACCAGGTGAAAAATGATCAGGAACGGGACACTCACAAAGGGCAGGGCTGGTCACTCCATTACCCTGATAAAGTCCAACTTCTGCATTTGTCAGAGAACACGACGGAGGCAGCCAGTGAGGTGCCAGCCCCAGGAAGCCTCCTTGTTGGGAAAGTAGAATAGTTTGGTCAGGGCCCTCGCCTTGGGTCCAGTTGGGTGTGATTCAGCATCCTTTGTAAGCAAATTTGTATGTGTGTGTGTGTGTGTGTGTGTGTAGTTAGTGTGCATGCGTGCCAATGTATCTTTTTAGTTTTGCTATTCTTGTGAGGGGGGGAGAGAGGGAAAGAGAGAGAGAGAGAAGTTTGGTGAGGCAGCAGGGTGGGCATCGGCCTCGGGCTTCTGCCCGCACAGCCACGCTTTCCAACCTATGGCTCCGAGGACCTTTTGGCCGGTTACCTAGCTCATAGACCTGCATGAAGGGGTCTGGTGACCCAGCCTGGCATGTGAAGGGTTTGTGAATGGGCTTGAGGGGTCTGGGAGCTCCAGACCCAGCCCCAGCTCAACAATTGGCCCAGTCAGTGTAGGATTACTGGCAGGTAAAAGAGCCCGACAACTGGCGTAGTCGTGGTCGAGTAGCTTTACAGTTGGCATCACGAACAGGATTAAGAGCCAGACAATTGGTGATGTCAGCAGGATTTCCAGACATTAGCTGTGGCTCCACACTCCTATAACTCCCATCTCTTTACGTTTTCTCTTACCTTTACACAGGTGAGCCTAGATTTTCTGCTTTTCAGGATCAAACACTGAGCTTTTCCCAGACTCCATGTCCACTTCCCTCCAGCTCCCGCTGTGGCCCCCAGACACTCCCTGCAGCACCCACCACCTGCTCCCTCAGGTTGGACTCTGCTGCCAGGCTGCTGTGTGGCCTTGGCCAAGAGTTTTCCCTCTCTGGGCTGTAAGCCAGAGCAAGAACTCTACTTTGACTTGCTGCCAGTCTCTGGAAAGCTGCCAGTGCGTTGCTGGCAGGAGATCCCTGAGCAGAGCGCAAGGAGGGGGCCCAGGACAGGTGAGAGGGAGGAAGAAAGATGGGCAGAGACTCCAGAAGAGCCCCAGGGGGACAGGCAGGCAAGGTCTCATGCGTCCCATGCACACCCTTCTCCACACGTCACACACGCACAGACACATGCACGCACACACAAACACCCACAAGAGGGGCACACTTGGGACTCTGGAAGCTGGGGGGAGGTGCAGGGATGGAGGAGGTAGGGTGGGGCCTGAGGATGCACCGAGGCCCAGAGGGGCAGGGGATGGGCGCAGGGTAGGCGCATACGTGCGTCCGGGCTCCTCCATGCCTGCAGTTCTGGGCCATCAGCCTCCAGCAAGCCCTTCCCTGCCACGCTCCTTCCTACTCCTTCCTGATTCCACATCAGTCCCCACAACACTTCATACCAGTAACGGACCTGCTGCTGCCCCCACCCCACAGCCTCCCCTGGGCCTGAGTCCCCTGTTTTTCCACAATCACCTGATCCTGGTGGCCACGGCTTCTGAGGGCAGGTAGCGGATGGGTGGAAGCGGTAAAGCCAGCTGGCCGGGGCCCTGGTGCAGACTCAGGATCAGGTTTGCTTCCCCGGCAGGGTGCAGGGCACTGAGCGCCAAGCAGGGAGGCCCAGCATGTCCACAGGCCCACCTTCTCCAGGACAGGCACCAGCACCGCTTCCAAGACTGGCTCTCCCCAAGCCAGGGAGCAGTTCACTGGGGACCTGGAGGGGTATGGGTGTGACACCCAGGCCTGGGACACTGTGCCCACACTCTGCCTGTGGTGAAAGTGAGAACAGGAACTCAGTCATCTACACTCACAGCTCTGGACACAGCCCAGGGCACAGGTCAGGAAGGAGAACTGGACGGGCAGCCCTGCGGGCTGAGAATGGGATGGACCTTGGTCATTTGTCCCCTGGGCATGCAACGAGCCCTGGCTGCTGCAAAGGTGTGATGAGGGCCACTCCTGCCTTAGGGGGCACCCAGGACTGTGCAGAATCATTGCCACCCTGTCATTCCACTTAAACCTCATGACAGGCATAGGAGGATGGGAGGAAGGGCAAGTTGCAGCTGTGGACCCCAGACCCACCCTGCGCCCATCCCCTGCCCCTCTGGGCCTCAGTGCATCCTCAGGCTCCACCCTACCTCCTCCATCCCCGCACCTCCCCCCAGCTTCCAGAGTCCCAAGTGTGCCCCTCTTGTGGGCTAGCCTGGAAATCTAGCCTTTGCCAATGACACGGCTTCAGTGATCAACCTGTTACAAGCCAAACAAACAGCTTGAAAGAAACTTCTGGGGGTACCAGGTCCACCTGGACATATCCCCCTTGCCAAAAATGCAGAGGCACCTCCTGAAGGACCCGCCTGTCCTGAGGGTGGGGAGCTTGTCTGGAACATTCTTGCTTCAAAGCCTTGCAGGAGACACTGACCCACCAGATGAACAACCACAATGAACCGGGGCCTCTTCCTCCTCCCCCCACCCTTGGGAAAAGGCCTCCTGCTGCAGGCAAACAGCACCGAGCAGCACGGCCTGCAGTCCCAGGGCAGGTCCTGGTGGTCCCTGAGCCAGCTGAGCCCCCAGGGCCACTCACAGGCCCGCTCAGAGCCCAGCACCTCTGAAGCCAGGAAGGCTTTGATCTCCTCCAGCCTCTGCTTTAACCAAACAGAACAGCATTCACTCCTTTTTTTCCTTCCTAAGCTCAAAACATTTTACCCTGATCGTCTATCTCAAAAAGCACAGACTGGATTATTTGTTTTGAAGTTTGCACTCTTGCTGTGAGCATGCCACACATAATCTGTGCCTTGTAGTGGCAACGGGTGGACAAGGGATCTGCTGGGGCGAGCACCAGGAACTGCTCTTCTCTCCTGCAGTCCCATAGTTGAGAGCAAAGTAAGGCTCTCCCTGAGGTCCCGGGATGCTCTGTGGGCTTCGAGCACAGTCTGGCAGCCTCCCCCACCCTGGAGTGTGTAGTCAGTGGGACCTTGCCCCAGAGGACGGGAGCATGGCCAGGGCCGGAGAAGGAAGCCCAGCCCCCCCGTGCTGCTGTTGAGGAGCCTAGGAGGTCCTGGGGGTGCCAGTGACCGATCCCTACCAGGTGCCACACGGTTGGCCTATCTTCTCCAGGCCCAGAGCACAAGTGGCGTGGACTGGCTGGGAGGCACCTGAGTGCGTGGTGGGCTCCTGCGCAGGGGGGAGGCTGTGCGTGTCAGCCCGGCAGGGCTGCAGTGCCAGCGGTTTGGTCAAACACTAGAGAAGATGGTGCTGGGAAGGTATTTATGGATGGGACTAACACTTAAATCAGGTGACTTTTAGTAAAGCAGACGACCTTCCATAGCATGGGTGGGCCTCATACAATCCAGATGAAGGCCCTAAGAAAAAACTCCATGGCTTCCCTGAGAAGGAATTCTGCCTCCACGCTAACACAGAAACCCTGTCCGAGTCTCCACATGCTGGCCTGCCCTCCAGATGGCCACTTGCCAGTCTCCACATTGTGCGAGCCAATTCCTTAGACATGACTCTCTCTCTCTCTCTCTCTCTCTCTCTCTCTCTCTCTCTCTCTCTCTCATGTGTGTGTGTGTAAACCACACTTCTGTCCGACTTGGCTACAAATCCAGGGATTCCCACGACCACCCCCCCTGTGTTCGATAATTTGCTATATAACTCACAGAACTCAGGGAAGCACTTTCTTCACGAGGATTGGTTTATTATAGAGGATAGAATCAGGAACAGCCAAAGAGACGAGATGCGTAGGCAAGGCGGGTGCAGAGCGCTCCCCTCCCAGCACCTCCACGGAGTCACCAATTCTGACCTAAGTTTTGTTACTACACATGATCGATTAAATCACTGGCCACTGGTGATTGAACTCCATCTCCAGCCCCTCTCCCCTCCCCAGAGGTGCTGTGGGGGGCTGGTAGTTCCAATCCTCTAATCACATGGTTGGTTCCTTTGGGACCAGCAGCATCCTGAGGCTGTCCAGGGGCCCCACCTCAAGTCAGCTCATTAGCATAACCCCAGGTGTGGTCAAAATGGGCTGAATGTGAATAACTCCTATCACTCAGGAACTTCCAGGGGATTTAGGAGCTCTGCCAGGAACCAGGGACAAAGACCAAATATAGATTTTTTATTATACCACAGCCCCACCTGTGGGTCAACTCCAGTCCATCCTAATGACCTCCCTTCCCAACCAGGATGCTGAACGTCCTCTAGCACCCATATCCATTGCTCACAGCTCTTAATCAGGCACCAGCCTATGCCTGCTTCTGTGATCCTCTGGCTAATGTTGCCACGGGTGTCCCTCAGCCGATTAAAGTCCCATGAGGACCAAACTCATGCCTGGACTTGCTCAACTAGGAGCCCTAGTACCTAGCACAGGGCCTAGCATAGGCAGGCCCTCCTTAAACACTGATAAGGTGAAAATAAACCAGATGTTACAAATGGACCTTTTTTCCTGGCAGTGGGCTTCAGAGCATAAACTCCAGCACCCCCCAGGCTCACCCTCACCTAGTCCACGCACACCTCAGCCCCTCCTGACTCTTTCACTGCCAAGCCCTTTCCCTTGGAGCCAGGTTCAGTGGTCCAAAGAGCCCCTGCTGGGATGGCGATGGGCACCGAGCAGCCTTTAGCACTAGTGAGACTGGGCTGCAGCCCCTCATCAGAGGCTGGACCAGAATGGGCGCGCCTGCAGCGAGGATGTTATGCAAAAGAGATTTCAAATCACCCAACTGTTCTATTTATAATTCATAGCAAAATGGTTTGTTGCTGTAAAAATATATTTGCACATTACACAAACAGACCTTCACAGCAATTATCTTAATGCTGTAGCTACAAATTAGCACCTACTTACCTCGGGCAAATTAGCACCAAGTGGAATTTGAGTGGCGTGAGTGATGTGCGGGCATGCGGAAGGGCTCACCGCGGCATCTGTGCACAACTCGGCTTTCTTAACACAGTGCGTTCCCATAAAGGGGGGTGTTGTGGGGGGGCGTCCGATGCCATCCAGGCCTAACCCTCCAAGACCCAGGGAGACAGGAGCTCACACATGGTCACCCTGCCTCAAGTGCTGGCAACTGATTCCCGGGAAGCAAAGTCGAGGTATGAGGCGGGCTGGGAATTCCATGCCAGATCCCCTAGGGGCACCCCATAAAGTGATTTTCACCCTACCTCTCAGCTATGCATGAATTTGTTAATGCAGACCCTCCTTACCCACTCACCAAACACCACTGGGTCCCTCACACTGGCGAGAAGGCATGTGCAGACCATTTGTCCAGATAGGACCAGAAGCCACCAGAACCTGGGCATAACACCCGGGTGAGATCACCAAAGGTGGCAGCAGCAAAGTCCAAATGAGCTGACTGTGACCTGATTCACAACCTTGTCAGGGGCCTGCTCACAAGCCCCAGGAAGCCTTCGGCACTCTCAGAGCAAGGCGGTCTCTACAGAGCTGCTGGGACCACCCAGCCAGTCCCTCCTGTGGCTCCTGTTGACACCAACACCAAGACTCAGGGCTCCTCCCACAGCTTTGTGAGGACATGAAGCTGCTGCCTCCCCAGCATCCTTGTTGCCCTGCTCAAGGGTCCCCACGTGCTCATTCAGGTGTGCCTCTCACCTGCACAGCCCTCCAGCTGCAAGGAGCTGAGCCACCCCGCCTCCCAGGGCCTGCCTGGTCAGCCTAAGAGTAATCCCCTCTCTCTTTCCAAAGGTTTGTTCAGGAACCCAACCACACAGCAATTTCCCTAGCCACAGGGATCGGTTCATTCAGGCCCAAGACGCACCAGGGAAAGCTTTCCAGGTGCCTCTGGGAAAGAAGATTCTTGTTCTCTAGAGAGGGCCACTGGAGGAGTCTCTCCACGCAGCTGTGTATAAAGACGAAGCTGGACGGTTACAGCCAACTCGCTGCCCTCCCCCAGCCCCCAAGATCCAGCAGCCCACAGAGAAGGCAGGAAATATCCAAACCCTGATCAAGACAAAGCTGATCTCCACACCTCCCCCCAGACCTCTTCAGCTCCACGGGCCAACACATCTCCCTTGACGCTCGGGCCAACTCAGAGTTGGGTTTTCTGTTAATTACACCCCAAAACGGCCTGATGCCCCAGGTGCCCTCTGGGCTACGACAGTCTTTTTAGTCTACTGTGTGTGTGTGTGTGTGTGTGTGTGTGTGTGTGTGTGTGTGCGTGTGTGTGTCCCCGTCCTTCTTGACCCATCACCATTGCACCCTGAAAGCGGGGTCATGTCTGACTCACATCTGAGTCCCATCACTGAGCCAGTCCAGGGTCAGGGACACAGCAGGGATTGGGGGTGTCTGTTGTGTAAGAGAACAGGAAGAGGGCACAAGATAGAGCCGGGGATCCAAGGCCCCACCTGACCTCGTCCCACTCATACTCTGGGGCCACTCCCACCATCTGCTCACTCCCTTCTCGGCCATCCTGGGCTGCTCTGTCCCCAAAGTGAATGAAGTTGGGGCCTCTGCCATCCATACTCAGATCTGTTAGGGTGGGGGGGACCCTGGGACCTCTCGTCTCCTCCCTCCCAGTTAAGAACTCTCCACTCCCCTGCCCGGATCTCAGACCCAGACCTTTCTCCCAGCTCCAGGCATGAATATCCCACCTGCCTACTCAACACCCCCCATGACAGCCATCTGTGTGTTCAGGGTTTCCTGCAGTGTTTGGAATAAA